ACTGAGACTCCAACTCAAAAAAAAAAAAAAAAAAAATTTAATGTTTAAAATTACCTAATTTTTTATCTCCAATGTAACCAGCGATGGTAATTCCTAATCCTTGGACATTTTTAGTGAGCTCCACATCAAATGTTTCACTTTCTTCACTTTTCTGAGTGGAAGCATCAACCTAAAATAGAATCATTAAAAACACAGGGAAATAAACATTTACATAAACAAGGTAAGCTTAGAGAAGCCACAGCCTTAACTTAAGAATAATATAGCATAATGCAATGCTAGAGAACTCTGCTAGAGATTTACAGTAGAGATTATTCCTTGAATCCTGACAACATAGACTGAACACAAACACATTTTTCCTCAGAAAGAAATGTCAGGAAGAACACTGGACCACTTCTTATGAGATAGATACACTATTGTTGTGTATATTAAATTTTAAAAATCAAGTCATTTCTCATTAACAAATTCAGAGATGGCTCATCTTCATGATAAGAAGCCAAGATGCAGCATAGTTGAAAAAACACACATTTTGAATTCAGATCAACAAGCTCAAAACTAGCTTTGTCACTTAATCTAGAAAGAACCATCACTTTGCTCAACTGTCTAACAGGAAAATAACAAGCAGTCCAGCTATGATTTATTGAGCAGCTTCTATGCAACAGACACTTGATATGTCTTATTTCATCATTCCTGATAGTCAGTCTATGAGGTAGATAAAATTATTACATCAATTTCTCTCCATGACTGAGGAACATGATCTTTTCTAAAAACAAAAAACTAGCAATCTAGTAAAAGCAGAATTCAAATCCAAAAAATTCGGTTGTAGAACCCTTACTCTTAAACGACACACAGTATGTAAAATCCCTAGGAGAATACAAGGGCCATAGTGCCCACCCGTTGGTTGCTGTTATAATCTTAAATTTATCGTTGATTCTAATACCTTGAATACTAGTTAATCTATGCTGCAGACATGAATAGACTTATGCCTTATTTTAAAAACCAGTGAAATGCACCAAGGAACTATTTCAAATCATCCTTTTATGTGTTTTGCAAATTCAACCTTTAAAGATACCTGCACATGTATGTTTACTGCAGCACCCTTCACAATAGCCAAAACACGGAACCGACCATGCTGCCCATCAAAACTGAACTGGATTTTTTAAAAATGTGGTACGTATACACAATGGAATATCATGCAGCCATAAAGAAAGACAAACATAGGGACTTTGCAGCAACTTGGATGGATTCAGAGTCTACCATACTCAGTGATCTATCACAGAAACAAAGAACAGAGTATCACATGTTCACTCAGAATGACCCTGGACATTTACCATCATACTATAAGAAAGGGATTGGCAGTAGCGTGACACTGCCGGGGTGTGGGGAGGGAGGACTACATCCATAAGGGTACCTGATCTCAGACTACGCAAAGTGTGGACCAAAGGGAGGTCCAAGCTTTACCCGTACAATGGCCACTTGTCTACCTAATCCTGAACCATACCCCACATCTCTCAAATAAAATAAATAATAAAAATTTTAAAAAAGAAATAACATGTTGAAGCATTTTTTACTGAGAAACATGATAGTTAAAAATAAAATAAAATTCGGATGATAAAAAAAAATTCAGCTTTTAATATGAAAAGCTCCTTATAAGGAAAGTATGCCTTGTTGCATTGGCATCCCTTATTCCTGGAGTGACAGCTGAAAGTAGATTTCTCAGCTGTCCCCCTTCCCTGACAGGTACAATAGCTATCAATTGTACGTTTCGCTGAAGAGCAAGGCTCCCTAAAATCACACATGCATGGGCCAGTGCAGGGTCAGTGAGCTGCCGGCAACATGTATTCTTGTAATGTCAGGGGATTCCACAAAGAACTCCAAGAGAAGCCAACCCAAGCCAAGGTTATGGGTTCCAGCAGGGATGCAGGTTGGGGCTAAGCTGGTAACACTTGTTAATTTTCCTTAAGCAAACTGTGACTATATCTCACTGATAGTCCACCTAAATGAGATATAATTTTACAGTCAAGTTTGATTTATTTTTTTCATTGCACATAATTATCTGTGCAAACTTAGCAAAAGTTTAAAGTTTAGATAATTACAAGAAAATGACAGGATGAAATCTGCTTCAATTGAAACAAATGTGTTTTCTATTTTTAATAAGACATGCGAGTGCTATTTTAGAGAGTGGCAATTTGACTATCGAATGGTTTTAAAAGGGGCACAAGCTTCAGAAATGATGATATGCACAGAATAGATATTTTTCTAAGCTTTCAATTACATCAAGTGGTGTTCGGTATTGCATTCATTTATATATTGCTGAATAAAATGTTTTGTTTACCACAAAAGAATGCCATTTAAACATTTTCACAAACAAGCTTGCTTTCTTTATTTCTTTCTCTTTGCAAAAAAAAAAAAAAAAAAAAAAAAGAAGCAATGAAATGCAATCTTAAAAACAACAGAATCATGGAAATTTCAAGTGTTCTAATAAAGTTTTAAAGAGCTTGTAGAGAGGCTAGGATATTAAAAAAGAATCTGCAGCAACTGTTTAGAAAGAATTTTAATAGAAGAAAACATAGATGTCTTTACAGCTATGTAGGGAATCCAAAGATGTACGTATGTAAAGGAATACAGGACTTGTATTTGCTATAAAGCTTATCTAGAAATTGGGTGCAATTTTCTTCTTAAATATTTAAAAGATTTCTGGATAAAATTATTTTGTTGCTATTTACAGTCTTGTTATCTGTAAATTCAGCTGAGATAGTCACTACTTTCCAATAATTCTGAAAATTTCTGGCTTTTTTCAGATCAAGTTAATAACAAAGGTATAATGCTATACTTATGACTTTTGTTTAAAAAATTATATAACTGGGTCAAGAATAATGACTACTCATTGCAAATCAGATAACAGTTCTAAGACATACCTGAAAACAGTAACTTTCAGTTTTACTCACTCCCACTAAGCCTGCCCCCACCCGCCCCCACACACACACCTAAAACTAAAACTAAGACATGAAAAGAAAGTTGTTGAAAAGGAATGGGCGTGTTGGCATGATCAGCTACTTGGAAGGCTGAGGCAGAAGAATTTCCTAAGCCCAGCAAGTCGAGGGTGCAGTGTCCATAAGCATGCCACTGCAGTCCAGTCTAGGCAACAGAGTGAAACTCCAACTCCAAAAAAAAAGTAAGAAAGGAAACGATGAGAACTATGATTCACCTTCTAATTAAAGGCAAAATAGAATTAAACATATTAGGTATTAGTAGTAAATAATTATTTAAAATTGTACCCATACTTCAAAACATTATCCCCATAAATGCGTTGCCTAGAGAAAAATGGGAAATAATAATCTACTATTTTTAAGCAATCTACTTTTTATCTGTTTTAGACATTGTTCCTGATTAATAAAACATTGTTAGTGCTAAAGCGTGCCTACATTTGAATTTGGTTTCATTCTTTAGTACTAACATGTGAACATTAGTAAGTATAGTTTCTAAATAAACATCTCTGTCATCTATGTGCTCATTGCTCTGGCTTTCACACTATTTTCACCTACTTACCCGCATCTCTGGTGTCGAAGATGAGGATGAGGAAATGGTGATGCCCAAAGAGGCAGGTGCTGTGTGTTCTTCTATGGCCCCTCTTGCAATCATCAACTTAACCCTATTTCCACACTGCCTGAGGACCTGTGCTACTTGCTCACTGCTCATTCCTGCTAGATCTGTGTCACCGATCTTGAGAATGTGGTCTCCGCTACATAATCGTCCATGCTGAGTAAAGAGAGGTGGAATAATTAGGCTATTATTTTTATAACTGCATCAGATAAGTCCTAAATGTGGGAAAGGGAAAAATAAAAAATGGCCATAATACAAATTTCCAATCATGGACAGTAAACATGTAGTTGTGACATTAACTGTCTTCTGAAAAATCCTAGCATCATCAGTGTGATATAAGTAAATGGAATTCACAGATACTACTTAAATCAATAGTTGATACGAACTTTTTTTATTTAGATTTTTACCCACAAAATGCAAGAAAAAAAATGCCTTGTCATGATATTTTTGAGGGCTAGAAAGGAAAAAAAATCCCATTACGCAAAATGTATGTGAAGTTACTATGTAAAATATACACTACTCAAAATGTGGTATGAAGCAAAAGAAAGCATGGTATTAATACCACAATTTTCCACCTGGCCACTTCAATTATGAATGTCCCAAAGAACTCTTTACAAATGAAACCCTTGTGAGGTGAAAGTTCAGACAAGTGTGTGGAGTGAAAAGCAGTGTTGTAGCATTCCATACAAGCACAGTCCAATAAATCTTTCAACAATGATGGAACTCTTCTGGTCTGCCCCAAACAGTTATAACTAGTGACATGTGGAACATGTGAAATATGGCTAGTCCACCTGAGGAACTGAATTTGTACTTTCATTTAATTTTAACTAATTTAAATGTGAATTTAAAAAGTGGCATGTGGCAAGCATCTATAATGTTGGAGGGCGTAGCTGTATACTGAAGACAAAACGTATGAAATATCACAAGCTTGTCAACTGGGCACATTCATTTGATACTGCTAAATGCTAGCTAAAGTTTAAGAGAAAAATTTGCATACTATTATATGGCTGTTAGTACCTCTAATGACAAAGTTGCCATTAAATAGGACTTTCATTCATGAATATAGAAAATGTCAGATGAACCTGACTTCCCAGTTTGTCAAACACATGCAAAACAACAGCTTTATCAACAAAATGCTATAATCAAGGAAATAGTTATGTAAACTACAGAGCTTGTCAAATCACATACACTGCAACACTGTCACATAACATAAATGGCAGTGCTTCAATAAACTACTCTAAAGTGGTAAAAATAGGGCTGTGCTTTCTATACAGAGATGATACCAGTAAGCCATCACCAAAGGGACAAGTTGAATCTTATTCTGCCCTCCTCAAATAAAGTTTTTTTCATTTAAAACAGATGACTAAATTTATAAATATGATTTATGATCATAAAAACAAAGGGGAGCTAACTACCTCCACAAATTTCAAAACCAAAACCTTGGCTTTCGCCTGAGGTTCTGAAGAGTGGGAGCCTCTTGTGACAGTGGCACTTACAAAACACTTTCATGTTATCCAAGTTCTGTTATCCACTAGATTATATATACTTTTTGTAAGATAGAGAGGCATAAAAATGTCATTTCACTTGATGATTAGAAATATTACAGACAGTTAAGGTGTTGAATAATTTCTAAGACATCGGTGATCAGAAACACTACTATTCGTTCTAATTTTAAAATGTATCTAAGGCCGGGCGTGGTGGCTCAAGCCTGTAATCCCAGCACTTTGGGAGGCCGAGGCAAGAGGACTGCCTGAGCTCACGGGTTCGAGAACAGACTGGGCAACTTGGCAAGACCTCATCTCTACAATCAATCAAAAAATTATCTGGGCATGGTAGTGCGTACTTGTAGTTCTGGCTACTTGGAAGGCTGAGGTGGAAGGATCACCTAAGCCCAGCAGGTCAACACTGGGGTGGCTGTGAGCATGCCACTGCACTCCAGCCTGGGCAATGGAGTGAGACTCCAACTCAAAAAATAAAAATAAAAAATAAAATAAAATGTATCTAAAACATATTAAATGAAAGAACCAAGAAACTCACAGCCTTGCCTCATATTTGCTTAGGCGAAGGACTTAGTGAACATTGTAGTACTTGTTGGATGTAGCTAGAATTAAGTTTAGCCTCGTTAATTGTTTAACTATACAGTTATATTAATTTGAATATATTACTTGAACTCTCTGAATGTTTCATCAACTATAAATTGAAAATGGTGATTTTTCAGAGTTTCTAGAAGACTTGAACGAGCTTAATAAAAGTTCTTTTTTTATTTATTAAAAAAAGAGTGATAAACTCATCTATGACTATAAGTTAAGATTGATGTCCCTTTTCAAATGTCTAAAAGAATACTTCAGGAAGAGACCAATAAAAGATTCTAATGGTTTCTTTGACGTTGTTTAAGGCCAAGGATTTCTTCTTCCTAACCACATATATGACTGATGAAGCCACATTATTTGATAAAGCAGGAAAAAAAAACAATGGGAGTAGTTTACCTGATCAGCGACTCCTCCTGGCAGAATGGTTTTTACTATCACACCAGTCGCTTTTCCTCCTATGATACCAAAGCCCAGACCTGATCCATCATTTACCAATTCAATAGTTTCCACATGCTGCCAGTGAACCTAAAAACAAAGCTCATATATAAATGTGTGAAAATATACAAAAAGCTAAAATTTTATATTCAGCAGACATTGTTATGATTATTATTTTGTGATTAGTAGTAAATAATTAAATTCAGACACAATAACGAGGCCTAACGAGGTCCTGTCCATTTAATCTGTTTCTCTTTTAACTGAATGTTACTGCTATTGATAAAATTATTTTTGAAACTATCAATATTTCATTATAACAACTGCAATTCACCAGTTAAAGATAGGCACTGATTTGCAAGATCTCTTGGAGAACTTTTTTTTAAAAAAAGATCAAAGGAAAAAAGAAAACAGTCATGTGTTAGGAATGTCTTCTGCATAATCCTGCCTTGAGGCAGGATTCCAAATTTGATGACTTCTTAAAGTCACTGACAGCTAACTGTAACAATATAATTGTATAATTTATAAAGCAAAATCAAGATTATATCTGTCTACAGATAAAGTCAGTTTTGTTAAGGGACTTTTTTTTTTAAAGAATACCATCAAATAAAATACTATCCAAAGAAAAGTAAAAGTTGGATTAAGAGCTATAAACTTAAATCATAATTAAATAACCAATATTTCAAGCTAGGGAGATAAAGATGAGAAAGAGAAAAGCTCAAGAAGTACAATAACCTACAGCAGTTAGAAACGTGGAGACAACCAAAAAGAACTAGAAAAAAGATATCTGTTCCTTTTGAAACTGAGAGGTGCTCACCGGATTAGAGTGAGCTGAAATCGTGCTGGCTGCTGATGGAGAACGGGAAACTATGGGGCTCATGATCGAGGGTAACGAGCCTCTAGCGATAACCAGCTGGACCGAATCTTTGGCTTTCTGCAGGATGCTGATAGCCTGCTGGTGTGTAATTGTCTGATCAAGTGCCTGTCCATTGATAGCAAGAATCTGATCTGTTTCTTTCAATCTTCCATCTCTGTCAAGGATTAAAAAGGGGGTAAAGATATCTGAGAGCTCTCAGGAATGTCAAGCTTCTCTGACAAGGATGTTCAAGTTATTTTGGTTTTTTTGAGTCAGAGTCCCACTCTGTCTCCCAGGTTGGAATGCAGTGGCACACTCATGGGACTCCAGGGATCCTTCCGCTTCAGGCTTCCAAGTAGTCAGAACTACAGGCGTGTGCTACCATGCCCGGCTAAGTTTTCAGTTCTTGTAGAGACAAGGTCTCACCAAGTTTCCCGGGCTGGTCTCGAACCCACAGGCTCAGGCAATCTGCTCACCTTGGTCTCCCAAAGTGCTGAGATGACAGGTTGAGCCACCCAGCCCAGTCCCAAGTTATTTTCAATCCTATTTTTAATTTCCACACTTTCTAGACCTTTTTCTGCAGTTCTACTCTTAAAAACGCATGTTTTGGTTCCAGGTGATCAAATATCTTGGGGTAATTCCACTGCTACCCCTAATCAATACCTCCTGTTTAAGAGTACTCTTTTCATCAGCAAGCCACTCAGCCAATGCATTCTATCTCAGATGTTCCTACTGTCTAAACATGAAAGTGTACATGCATATACAGTTGGCCCTCTGAGCCCATGGGTTCCACATCCATGAATTCAACCAACTGTGGATCAAATATATGGGAAAATTATAATAATAATAAATAAAAATACAACAGTAAAAAATGATTAAAACAAACAATACAGTGTGACAACTATTTACATAGTATTTACATTGTACTAAGAATTATAAGTAATCTAAGGATGGTTTAAAGTGTATGTGGTGATATGCACAGGTTATATGCAAATACTACACCATTTTTTATATGGAATTTCAGCATTCACAGATTTGGGTACCCGCGGGGGTCCCGGGGATATTGCTGGATAACTGTATTTCATTGTTATTTGGAGTATATTAACAACATACAACTGAAATGATCATGGATCGTTTTCAGTACAGTAATTTTTAAATCTCATTTAAAAGGGTCCATTTAATAACAATGAAAATAATATTCTACTCAAATTTGTCTTTCCTTACTAAAGTGTAATGAAAGCTTTCCTTACTAAAATGTAATGAAAGTGTAGCTTATGTAAAAGCTACGCTCACTTCAAAAAACTTGCTTTTTTATCACAACAATGTTAATGACTTCTAAAGACTTGTTAATATCCAATATGTTCAGCTTTTTTGTTTGCTTCTATGCCGTATTGTTTTTCTAAACTCCCCCATAGTGATCAAAACCTTCAGAACGTGGTATCAAAAACAAAGAAGATGCTGTGACCATCTCACCTGTAAGCCACGCTGCCTTCTTGGATCTCTTGTACAAATATTCCCAGCTCGCCTCTGTTTTCACTCCGCAGTCCCACGACACTAAACCCAAGTCCGCCACAGGAGGGTTTGAGGAGCTCAAAAACCTCTATGTGGCGACCCTGTTCAGGAAACAAAGCAAGAAATAAAATTAAAAGCCCATGACTGTAGTCACAGTCATCTTATCGGTGGCATTACTTTGCTTAAAAAAATTGGCTCGTAATTTTCTAACATCATTTTTAGCACTCACGGCTTAGGATGGCACACTGCATTTATCCTAAGAACGTTTCAAGAATACAACATAAAATATTCAACTTAAATCGTGATGATTTTTTAATCTATAATAGAAAAAACTCTTCATCTAAACTTCCACAAAATTGACTGCTTTTTCATCCTAGTTTTTTCAGATGTCCTAAATGGCACTATATTCTTCAAATTACCCGGAACTTGGTCACACTCTTAAGATATTAAAGGTTTTATAGCTAATAGGAAGAAATGATCTCACCTGAGCCATATTTTTGATCAGCTGATCAAATTCGTCACAAGCAGGTTTCCCATTGATATGTGGCGTCCCAGATCCTGTAAGTGCTTCCAGATTCCCATTATTCGGAGATAATAAAAATGATTCATTTTGCAGAGTGGGAATTACAGCTGGACTGACATGAGGAACGTGGGCATATTCAGTATTTGAAGTTGCAGTGTTTACCTAAGAGCAATGCAGAGCTTATTAAGAATCTGACATTCCATGAACTATTTCAAAGAAGATATCCCAAGAAGGGGAATAATAAAATTCCAAACTGTTCATAACCTTTGATCCAGCAATTCTACTTCAAGAAATGTATTTCAAGCAAAAAATGAGAATAATACACAAAGATGTGTACACAAGAACATTAAGTGTAGCACAATTTATCAGATGGGAAAACAAAACAACAAATTCAGATAAAATACCCATAGAAACATATGTATATTCCATTTTTGTTCCCAACTCCTAGGAAGTAACCTTTAAACTCTTGGAATTTCTCCAAGGGATGGGGTATCTTTGCTATTCATGGTGGGTCACAAGGCCACATGATATAAGCCTAAACCCTGAGTCTAAGTTCAATCGTGTGGGCAATCAATCAATCATCATGCCTATAAAATAACACTCCGATAAAAAAAATGGAACAGCAAGCTCAGATGATCCTCCTGGGTCTGTGACACAGTCAGGTGCCACATAACATTGTTTCAGTCAATGATGGGCTGCATGTACAATGGTGGTCCCATAGAATTCACACAAAGCTAAAAAACTCCTATCACCTAGTGACAGCAAAACTGTCATAACGTGGTAGTGCAACACATACTTACATGTTTGTGGTGATCCTGGTGTAAGCAAACCTACTGCTCTGGCTTTTTGTCATTACCTTAGAATGTATTCCTTCTGCTTATTTAACAACAACAACAAAAAAGCTAACTGGTGAGTCCTTCAGGAGGGATTCTGGAAGAAGGCATCGGTATCCCAGGAGGTGACAGCTCCATGCATGTTGCCCCTGAAGACACTCCAGTGGGGCAAGGAGAAAGCGTGGCATTGATGGTCCCGACCCTGTGGAAGCCCAGGCTAATGTGTGTGTCTCTTAGTGTTTAGCGAAAAAACTTTAAAAAGTAAAAGAAATTAAAAACACACCACTTAAAAATAGAGAAATGCTTATAGAATGCAAACATAAAGAAAGAAAACGTTTGTGTAGCTATGCAATGTGTTTGTATTTGAAGCTGAGTGGTACTTCCAAAGAGTTACAAGCTTTAAAAAGAATTGAGACCTTTAGAAAGTAAACAAGCTACAGCAAGCTAAGGTTAACTTATATTGAAGAAAGGAAAATTTCTGTAAATGTAATGCAGCCTAAGAGTACAGCGCTTATGAAGTCCACAGAGTATACAGTACACAGCCATGTCTGGGGCCTTCCCATTGACTCTTCACTCATGCGCTGACTCACCCAGAGCAACCAGTAGTCCCGAAAGTTCCATTCATGGTCCGTGTGCCCTACACAATGCCTAGAAAGGTACGTGCCATTCATACACTTAGCTCCAGCTGTACAGACCTTTGACGTCACATTTTTTATTGTCCCTTTGCTATGTCTGGGTATGTTCAGATAGACGAGTATTTACCACTGGGTTACAGCTGCCTCCTGTAGGATGCCTATACAATATAGCAACAGGCTATACCCTACAGCCTAGGTGTGTATCCGTGTAAGTGCACTCTGTGACATTTGCACAACAATGAAACTGCCAGATGATGCATCTCTCAGATTGTATCTCCGTCATCAAGTGACACATGACCGGACCCCATGCATGCCACACATTGGTTCTGGGAGAGTGACACTTCCCAGGACAAGGGAAGATTCAGGTTCGGAATCCTCTTATATTCTGTCTATGCATCTCTTCCTTTGGCTGACTTTTTTTTTTAATATTTACCAGTTTATTATAAGGGCTATTACAAAGGATGCAGATGAAGAGATATGTGGGTGAGGTGTGGAAGGAGATGAGAGGAGCTTCCATGCCCTCCCTGGGAGTGCCACCCTCTAAGAACCTCCTTCCCCTATTGGGAAGTTCTCTGAACCCAGTTCTCTTGGGTTTTTACAGAAGCTTCATGACATCAGCATTTCTTCCCTAATGGATAGAGTGGGATCCTCTCTGTGGAGTATTTTAAGATCCATAATAAGAAAAGAAAGGGAAGATTAGGATCCTGCCTTGGGGTAGGTGAAAGGAAGGCAGGAGAGAGTCAGAGAAATTCTGTTTATGAGACCTTCCCTGAGGCCTGACACACCCAACATTGTAACAAAAAGGCTGCAACAAGTGCTAAGGGAGTTATGAGCCAGGAACCCTGGGCGAAAACTATACATTGGCTGCTTTTTCCCTGTAATAGATCATAACCATGAGTATAATAGATTTCAGTGAATACTCTAAGACTTAGTGAATTATGAAACCCAAGGGTAGTGTGGGAAACCTCCCAAACTTACAACCAGTGTCAGAAGGGAGGCTGCTTTTGTGTATACTTATCCCTTTAACTTTGTAGCTGGACCTTAATTCATTTTAGTTGGTATCAGAAGTGTTGGGCAATGTTGGCAGTTTGGGGGACCGGGCCCTCAGACTTTGTAGCCTGGCTTACTCCAAGCACAACAACATAAGTTAAAACCGTGAAAATATCCTTCAGTTTTGGGAAAAGGTTCTAAAACTGCTTGTGTGTGCCGATTATAAAGAGATCCACACATTAAATCTGATAATAGATAAAACAGTGAAAACAGTCCATCCTAAATTCATATTTCTGCCGGATGTCTTGGATGTGACTTTTTTTTTAAATCTATAATTACTTATCAGAAAAATGACTTCCATTGGCCAGGCATGGTGGCTCAGCCTATAATCCGAGCACTTTGGGAGGCCAAGGTGAGAGGACTGCCTGAATCTGGGTTCAAGACTTGGTGAGACCTCGTCTCTACAATAAATCACAAAGAACTAGCTGGGCATGGTGGTGTGTGTCTGTAGTTCCAGCTACTTGGAAGGCTGAGGCGGAAGGATTGCCGGAGCCCAGCAGGTCGCAGCTGCGGTGGCCCTGTGCGTGCTTACTGCGCTTCAGCCTGGGCGATAGGAGTGAGACTCCAACTCAAAATAAGTAAATAAAGAGAAAGATGACATCAATGCTGTCGGTGATCACATCTCTAGCACTCTGTCCCTCACTAGCTTAGCTTCAGTTGTACTGACCTCTTCAAGTGGCCTCAAGGTATCAAGCTGCTCACTCTGTCAACAAGCCAGTACATCCCAAATATTCACCTGCGTACCTCTGAACCCCACCCAGATGTGCCCAGTCCAACTTCAGAGAAGTCTTCTCTGACAAGTCTCTCCAAGCCAGAACTCACAATTGTGCTCCTTGAGATCACCCTTCATGGCACTTATTATCACCTGACATACACCCTGCTGTCATGTAGGTTTTTTACCCCAGTGAGTAAAGACAGACTAGAATGTAAAAATCCTCCAGCGGAAACATTTGACCATTTTATTTTCTACAATGTCTTCATTCTATAGTAAAGTGCCTCACACAGAGTTGGCGTTCAACATACATTTGCAGAATAAATGTTTATCTATTGTTTAAGGACTTACTCCAATCTCCCAAACAACTTTCCAAATATCATCTCAATTTCACAGATGATGAAATTACACAAAGTCACACACCTAAGAAGTTTATATCCTATCATCTTTGTACTATACACAAAGCATAGAGTCATTTGAGATATCATGTTTGGAAATAAAACATCAGGTAAAGCACATCCATTGACAGAAGCTATCAAAATGTTTCAAAATATGTCACCAATCCATACCTAAGCGTTTGTTACCTGTCCTTAAAAATAAAACAAAACACTCATTAGGTTACCAAAGTTACCAATAACTCAACCATTATGTTGACTATTTAGAATGCATAGGATAAAAAAGAGATCAACGTGTTGAGAGGAGTTTTGGAAATCCTTTCAAACGCTTATTTTAAAATTTACAGCAGGCATGATCAATTATTATTTTTTCAAAAGCAAGCTTCTTATGCCAAGCCTGATTTTTTTTTTTATCCTGCGCCATGGAAACTTCAGTAAAGTCTGCCAGCGGAAAATATACCACTCAGGTTGAAGCAGATGGCATAATGAAATTTATGACAGGCTGAAGATCCCACACACCAGGACCTAATGGTTATGGTATATTTGCAAAGGAAAAAAATATTTGGACTTATGCTATGGTAAGCCAGAATGAACAAATCACATTCCAAGAATAGAGTCTCTCTATAAGAAATTCGTGGTAAAGTAGAAGCTTTGATATTATGGAAGACTGGTGTGAAGGCATTCCAAGAGTAAAATTAGTAAGAGCAGAACAAGTACAATATTACAATACGCGAACTGTATAAAAATATTCAATATCAATTGCCATCTCCTAATCGGTAAAGGTTTGATGTATGTCAATGACTTCTCTTGCTTCCTACCTGCCCTTGAGGTCTACATGAATGTAAAACCAAGCGTTATAGAGATCACACATTAAAAAACTAGAATTTAACTATACCATCATTAAAAAGTTTCTAAATTTACAAATGTATACTAATTTCTAAAAAGCACAGAGGCCAGGCCCAGTGGCTTATGTCTGTATTCCCAGCACTTTAGAAGGCTGAGGTAGGAGGACTGCTTGACCCACGGAGTTTGAAACCAGCCTCGGCACACAGTGAGACCCCGTCTCTACAAAAAATCAAAAAAATTAGTTTATGACAGGCCTGTAGTCTAAGCAACTCGGGAGGCTGGGGCAGAAGGATCCCTTGAGCCCAGGAGTTTGAGGCCGCAGTGAGTTGTGATCGTGTTACTGGACTCAAGCCTGGGCAACAGTGAGACTCCAATTCAGAAGAAGAAGAAGAAGAAAGGCACCTTTTGATTTTGTTAAAATTATTTATTAAACCGGGCTCGGTGGCTCAGCCTGTAATCCCGTGCCTTTGGGAGGCTGAGGTAAATGGATTGCCTGAGCCCGCGGGTTCGAGACCCGCCTGGGCAGTGAGACCTCATCTCTACAATAAATCAAAAAATCAGTCGAGCGTGGCAGCGCATGCCTGTAATTCCAGCTACTCGGAACGCAGAGCGGAAAGATCGCCGGAGCCCAGCAGGTCGAGGCTGCGGTGGCCGGGAGCGGCCACTGCACTCCAGTCTGGGCGACGGAGTG